GATGTAATCTTAAAGCCTGTCCATATGCCCTGCTTTTTAAGTGATAAAGTACCCACTTGTCTTGAACAGAAGTTGAGAACTTCGCAATTGAAAGAGGTGGTGGTCGTATTGTGTCAGAGGTAAAAATTAGTGAGAAAATGGCTGCCAAAATGTTGATAATTTGTAAAGCAGTAGTTTCGTACTACGTTGTAATTTTGGGGCAGCGATATGTGTTTGCTGAGTCTTTAAAGAGTTAACTTGGTATTTTTTAGAGTTAACATGATGTTGTTTTAAAGAGTTAAAGCCGTATTTTAAAGGGTTAACGTGGTGATGTTTTAAAGAGTTAACATGGTGATGTTTTAAAGAGTTAACATGGTGGCGTTTTAAAACGTTAACGTGGTTGTGCTTTAAAGAGCTAACATGGTGGTGTTTTTAAAGAGTTAACGTGGTGGTGTTTTTAAAAAGTTAACGCGGTTGTGCTCTAACGAGCTAACATAGTGATGTTTTAAAAGTTAACGCAGTGTTTCTTCGTATCTTTTACAGAGAGCTTCATCATAGGGCCCAAGGACACCCTCATGTCTGTGATCACGTACAACGCAAGAGTGAGACCTCAGTTCTGCTTCAACGATTATCAGAATAACGCAGCAGTGAAAGAGGTTAGCTGCAGTTTCCAGCGTTGTTTTTGTCATCATCATCATCATCATCATCATCATCATCATCATCATCATCATCATCATCATCATCATCATCATCATCATCATCATCCCCAGTTTCTATCTCTGCATTGTTATCAATATCACCATCATCATCATCAGCAGCAGCAGCAGCAGCAACGAAATCAACAACAACATCAGAGGCGGCAGCGGTAGAGGAATCCGTATAATCACAATCAATGCCAAAATTAATACCACCATCTTAGTTGTTATCAGCATCCGCAACAATCGTAGGTTCTTCGGCGTTACTTGTTACAACATATAGGAACATGCAAGTAGCCTACTACGAAACTCCAAAGGCGAACGAATTTTCACTTTGAAAATACTTGAGAAAATTATATTGATAAATAACTGCTACAGCTACAATCCTTGCCACCATCACTAATTACAAGAACGATAGCAGCAGCAGCAGTGTCAGCAGCAGCAGCAGCAACAACAACAGCAATATCCGCACCATTAGCAATTCGCCACTTCCTCCCCCTCCAGTTTATATCCACCATTGACACCACCAACAAAAATCAGACAATATTACAACACAATAATATACTGTGATGAATGTACAAACAACAATAACGACGACGACAGCAACAACAACAACAACAACAACAACAGCAACAAAACAGCACGCCGCGTGTGAAGATAGCTAATAATATTTTTGTTGCATGCACATCATCTTCAACAACAATGACATTGACTGCAGTTTTTGCACTACTATACTACTACTACTACTACTACTACTACTACTACTACTACTACTACTACTACTACATTGTACTTCTGCGGCTACTATCCTTCGCTGACGAAGCTGACTTCCTTCGAACTTGGCGACCCCAGATCTTTCTAAGGAGCACCAAGTGGGTGGTTGGCGGGTGCTCTAGTGTGGTTTGCTCCTTCTTTCCTACCAAATATCTATCGTCCTGATCTCTCCTCCTTTTTTTTTTGTGTTTGTTGCTGTCTTGTAACACCTCTAATCTTCGGCTCTTATATGAACTTATTGCGTTACAAGTGCCGTAAAACTTCTATTTTTTAAAAAAGGAGCACAAAACTGTGCGATGACGAGAAGCTTCTTCCCGGGTGGTATGAGGAATATTACATTTCTCCTGGGATATTTTCAGAGCATCTTTGAAGCGTTTTTATTGTATGTCTGCGAGAGAACGTTTGCACCACAACTTACTACCACTACAACCATTAATTCCACCGCCTCCTCCCACTCCCACCACTTCTTTCATCCTCCTTCAGGCTATAAGCAAGATCAGATACTCCACTGGTGTCACAAGAACTGACCTGGCTCTGCAGTACGCCCGAGAGTATACCTTCAACACCAGCACCGACTGTGGAGCTCGAGAAGGCGCTGCTAAAGTGGTGTTGGTCGTTACAGATGGAAACTCCACCGTCCGTAAGCGATGCGCTTCTCCTTTTTGTTTTGTTTTGTTTTGTTTTACGTCCGCATTGACACAATTTATATCTTTCAAGAGACGGGGCTTCGCGATGTGGATCATTCAGGAAGCGGGCTGCTTCGACACTGGAAAACCCGGGTCGTTGCACTTACTTTACTTTTATCCGCCGCTTATACCCTTTTGGGCGTTGCGGGAAGAAAGAGACGTCTCTCTGTCGCCAGCCGGAGAGCTTGGGTCAGGGGGATGCCGTGGGTGGTTAATGTTTCCCTGACTCCATCTATCCAGGTCTTCCTCGGTCGCCCTCTGGCCTTGTTGCCATCGAATTTTTGTTTAATGTAGGCACGTTGTGCTGGATGGTGTGTTGGTAATCGAATGAGATGTCCGAACCATTTGATTCTTTTGTGTCGGATGTGGTCGTTGCAAAATTTGATCAAATCAATCAAAACCAAACATGTTTGGTTTTCTGGGCAATGATTTGATAAGTTTGATGAAAACACCCGATTAATGATAATGCAAGTAGCTCAAAACTTTTGTTTACTGCGCGCGGAACCAGCGGAATGGGATATAAGGCCCTACTGGACTTCCCTGGGTCAAATCTAATAATAAATTAAACAAAGTGACGTCATTTGATACCGCGTGTGCACTGGTAGGCGCCATCATACTCAGTGCACATTCAAGGGATTGAATCGGGACCAGCTAGATTTTCCTCCGTGGAGGGACAGAAGCTACCATTTTGTCACCATACGATCGATTCGACACGTGACCTTCAAAGAAAAACACATGATGATGATGATGCTAATGAGTAGTAGTAGTAGTTGTTTATTATTATTATTATTATTATTATTATTATTATTATTATTATTATTATTATTATCATTACAATAATAATTAACAGGGCATCCCACACTTACAAAAACAAACGACGGAGAAGGAAAAGAAATGATTTAAAACGCAATAGGTAGCCTGTAATTTAAAATATTGCAAAAAATAATATGAAAACTGCCTGTTCTTTCAATAATAATTGAGTCCTCTTTTTCCCTGTTTTTTCCATAATAATTGAGTCCTCTTTTCCCTTGTCAGCTGGGTTCACCATACAGCAAGCTGAGAAGCTACACGAGAGTGGCCCTACTGTTATCACTGTGGGTATCGGGGCCGCTCTGAGCAGAAAAGAACTGTTCGCCATCGCCTCTGAGAACTCGCTCGTCTTCCGGGTCAACGACTTCAGCCTGCTGGATGTTATCAAGAACCGAGTCGTTGCCACCGCCTGTATGGCCTCTCTGATATGTGAGTCAGTCTGGGTGTTTTGTTTTGTTTTTTCGTTGTTGTTTGGGGGGGGGGGGTTGGGGGGGGGGTTGTGTTGGGTTGTTGTTGTTGGGTTTTTTTTTGGGGGGGGGTAGTTTTTTGTTTTTTGTTTTTTGCTTTTCGTTTTTGTTTGTTTTTGTTTTTCAAAGTTTAAAAAAAGTTTTAGTAGAGGTTTTGCGGCGCTCGCAACTGCATAAGGTCATATGAGCGCCAAGGAGTGGATGTCAACAGATAAGTCCGTACAGGGAATCAGACTTACTCTTCTCACCTCTCTAGCTTCAACAGCACGAAGTTTGCTTCGACTATCAAGGCACCCCGGAAATAGCCGGTCACAAGAATGTGGCAAACAAATAAAAGAAGTAGAGGAAAATGACGATAGTAAGGATTAGGAAAGTTTTAAAAAGCAGCAGTTCCCTGTTGTAGTTCAGGCACAGTTATGAGCATGACATTGTTAGATCAGCCCATTTACAATTCTACTGTGCTCTAGAACGAGAAATGTCCCCCCTTTGGGAATGGCCTCAAGACACTTCAGTCAGTGGCACTGCCCCTGGGGGGAAGGGAGGGGATATGGCAAAGTTTGACTGTCATTAATTAATGTAATTTTTATATACCTACACCCTCGTCAGCATGATCGAATTTGATCGTTAACTCTTACAGGTTGTCAGCATACGCCTTGTTTTGTTGCAGTAAGCGAAGTTTAAAGCATAAGCTATGTAAACGTTAGCTTTTTCAGCAGGAAAAGATACGTTTCAAGGATTAGTCATGAATTAAAACCACCAATTTTGTAGAAAACATTAAAGATTTTGTAAGTTATGAGTTGTAGTTCAGACAAGCAGATATTTCTGATTAATAAGGCAAATGATTTTTTTTTGCAACCAAAAAAAACAACCCCCCAACAACAATGCAGCATCTAACCAACAGACATCCGTTTTCCCCTCATCACTTTCATTACTCTATAACACTAAGTACTCAGGCTATAAAGAAAGAGGTAGACGACGCAAAAGATGGATTGGGGGAGTCAAGGAAACCCTGAGATATTATAATATCCTAATTGGAAGAGCTGCAGAGCTGGCCTACCATAGGAAACTGCATCTCCCCTCGGTCCTCGACGCTTAACGGCAACAGAAGATGAAAAAGTAAGAAGTAAAAGTAAAGTAGTAAACTCTCATTACTTTTAATCCCACCTCACCTCCCCCCAACTTCCCTTTCCAGCACCGGGCTACCACGATCTGTGTAATGCCTACTGCCGCAGTAACATGCGTTGTCAAATGAACGTTGCCAGTGAGGTCAACATGTGCGAATGCCCACCGTTCACGACTTATGACCCCAAGAACATCGTCTGCTTGTAATTTTGGTGAGTTCCTAAATGTTTTTCTTCTATAGTAGTGGAGACCAGTGTTTGTGAGCCAACCTGGCCAATTATATTGCCCACCAGTGGGTGATTTTGGTAATCTTGGTGGGAGGTGGGGATCACTCGGGTAGCGCTACCCAAGAAGTCGTGAATGTTTCTGGGTGTTTTAGGGTCTGCTTGTGTGATAATACATTTATTGTTAAGCGCACAGGTTTATTCATTATTGTTGACACATTTATCATTTTATGTCCAGCTTGGAAACACATAATATAATATACAGGTGGGTGGTACGAAAGTCTTAGCCTCTCAAAGGTGGCAAAAGTGGGAGCTGGTTATAAAACGTTTGTCAAGCACTGGAGTATCCAACACTATCTGATACACAATGCCTCCTTATCCTCTGTGTGAGTTTCACGCCCTTCTAGACATAAATAGGTTGTTCAAAATCCAGTCCTCTACCATTACATCCAGACCGAGCCATGAGGTAACGAGCCTGAGGAAAGGGGAACTGGTTGATTGATGGTCATAGTTTTTGCCATCATCAACATAATTTAGATCGTTTAGGTTTAGGAGGTGGGCTGGCTCAGTCTTGCCAGTCAGTGTCAGGGCCAAACTAGGCTGAGTTGGATACCAGCACCAAAAAAAAAGAATGAGAGAGAGAGAGAGAGAGAGATAGAGAGAGAGAGAGAGAGAGAGAGAGAGAGAGAGAGAGAGAGAGAGAGAGAAAGGGTAGTGAGGGGAGACAGAGAGATAGAGAGAGAGAGAGAGAGAGAGAGAGAGAGGGGGGGGGGAGAGGGAGAGAGAGAGAATAAAATAGAGAGAAAAAGAACGAGAGAGCGGGAGAGGGAACAGGCGGAAGAGAGAAGAGAAAGGAAGGGCATATAGGATCATTATTTGAATTATGTTTTGTGTATTAGATATATATTACAACGCGCATTTATCACTTTCACTTATAGTGGAAGATCCCTGTAAATATTTTCTACGATAGTAATGACGATGATGATGATGATGATGATGATTTTTGACCTTGTGGTTTGATGAAAGAATAGTTTGATGTCCTTGATAGTTTCGTCTTCATGGTCACCATTATAATTTTTCTCCTCTCCCCTCATCCCCCAACGTATCATGATGATGATGATGATGATGATGATGATGATGATGATGATGATGATGATGATGATGATGATGATTGTTTTTGTTGCTGTTTTTCTTCTTCTTCTTCATCTTCTTTTTATTTTATTATCAGATACTTGATAAAATAACTTCCTCATTCGTTTAGTTTGGGTGTGTTAGTTAAGCAAATTCGACGAATTTTTCTCCTCAGATACATGGTTGAGCTGACTTCATCCCCCGAGTACTTTTTTTCCCCTCCCTCTTCATGCTTTTGTGAAACTCTTTCACAATCATTGACGACAAACGCTTGCTAAAGGATCGGAGCTGAAAGAAAAACGAATAAAAACCCTTAATAAAGACTGGAATTAACACTTCCTCGTTGGTCATTTTTCCTTCTCTTCAAAATTGAAACGTTTGCCTTTTTTTTATTTTGTCTCATTAAATTGTTGAGTTCTGCGTCCTTTTCGACGCCTTCAGTTGTCAGAGAGAGAGAGAGAGAGAGAGAGAGAGAGAGAGAGAGAGAGAGAGTGGGAGAGACAGACAGGCAGACAGAGAGAGAGAGGGGGAGGGAGAGAGAGAGAGAGAGAGAGAGAGAGAGAGAGAGAGAGAGAGAGAAGGGGGGCGGGGCGGTAAAATGCCCACGGCCATTAGTCGTTTCTTGCAACCCTCGGTTAACCATAAATGCTCAAAGTGAGACAAAAATGTTAGGTTTTTTAAAATTGTTTTAGCTAGTGTTACGGCACTTGCAACACAATAAGGTCATATAAGTGCCGAAGATTAGATGTGTTACAAAAGAGTAACAAACACAAAAAAGAAGTAGGGAAGATAGAGACAATATGTGTTTTTTTTTAAGGAAAGGAGCAAACCACACCAAGAGCACCTGCCAACTAACCACACAAAAATGTTCGATAGAACTTTGTAATTCTTAGGTAGCATAGTGTGGGTCTGTTGGAAAGTGTGTCATGCGAGGCCAAATAAAGCTGAGAGGGTTATAGTGCCTTAGCAGACAACTTTTGTTGTTGTTTGTTTCGCAACTGACTGAATAAGGTCATATGAGCGCGCGGGACACATTTAACATTTTCGGTTGGAAGGAAATTTTGAAATTTGCCTGGGTGGCGGCCGAAGCCTGCTCTTATCGATTTTCGGCAACCTGGGGATCTTTAACGTGCACAACTTGCAAACGGGACCCCCGAGATTTTTCGCCCTTCTCTGAGAAGGCTAGGTGTACATTTTTTCCTACCAGAAGATCAGGGGTGTGGCTGAAAGACACCAGTAAGAAGGAGCCTAGAAGTAGCAGTAAAAAGGCTGCAGAAAGAGTCAGGAGCCTAGAGGAGGGGGCAGAAAGTAGGGACGAAAGCAGACGATAGAACATTGTTAGAGGGCAGGAAAGGAGGTGAAAGGAGACACTTTTAGAGAAAAAAATGTCGCCACTATCTGGATTCAAAACCGGGACCTTTGAATGAGAGGCGAACTCCTTAACCTGTAGGCAACGAGAGCCCCCGAAAGTGTGGTATGCAAGGCCAACCAAAGCTGAGTGGGAAACAGTACCTAATACGGGGTGCCCACTACGGATGGGATCGGCCGATCAGCCCGATCGCCCCACTTGATCGCCTCAAAAACAAACGTGTTTGTTTTCAGTTTCATGCGATCGAGTCGTGCGATCGGCCCGATCCAGCCGTAGTGGGAACCCCGTATTAGCAGACAACAGGGGAAACTGCATAGAATAAAAATGCCCTATTTGGCAACTGAACTCGCCTCTTATTCTGTTTGCAAAACAAAGACGCAGAACATTTCTTCAATGAGAGACACAGTTACATGTATTTTTATATTCAAGTTAGATTGCTCTTTGTTATTAGTTATTCATCCACTGTATCCTTTTCCACAGAAAACGAAAACGATTTCACAGAAGTACCGTAACTGTCTTGACTGCTCGAGTCATTTCAAATTACATATCGCACCCCCCACCCCCACCCCACCCTCTTTTTTTCTTACTTTCCCCGAAACATAGAGCGTTGCAGATTTTATGTGCAAACAACTGCGATTCACACATCCTAAAAGCGGATCTTGAAATGTTTTTATAACTTCTGATAAGACATAATAATATCATTGAAATCATTTTTTTTCTTTTTTTGCCTTCCTTCTTAAAGTTTTAGACAACTACAAAAGAATCGAAAAATCTACATGAATAGCGAAGTTATGCCTCTTTTTTAAAAAATACTCCAAAACAGAACGTCCTCAGTGAATTAACTTAACTCCTGGGTAAAGGGAACAGAGTATGTGGTCGGCGGGTGCTCCGGTGTGGTTTGCTCCTTCTTTTCTGTTAAAATCACAGAATTCTACACTAAGTGTAGAATTCTGTGGTTAAAATCAAACATCGATTATTCCCCTTTTTGGTGTTTGTTACTCTCTTGTTACACGTCTAATCTTCGGCATTTACATGACCTAATTGTTTTGCAAGTGTCGTGAAATACCTACTTAATAAACTAAACTAAACGTAACGTTTACTTTGAAGGCAGAGAACATAATAGCTCAGCTCGATCCGACGTTGTGTCCTTATGAAAAGGCATTTTACGCGAATTTTCTTATTTGCCTCAGTCCTTTCGGAAATGAATGTTAAATTCAAAGGTCCTTATGAGAACAACGATCGATTAGCCCCCAGCTCGTGATATGGGCTGGTGAAGCATTGCTGAAAAGGAGAGTTGCAATGCGGCTAGGAAACTGGACATCTGACACCAGAAGCATCACACTGGGGTTGCCACAGGGATCATCACTCTCACCAGTGTTATTCAACATAATATGCACAGTTGGAATCACTTCTGGATAACTGGAAGGCCCAGGGTGTGAGCTGAGCTTTGTGGGTGATGTTCTTGTATACAGAGTAAGGATCGGCAAGGCAAAAAACAGCTAACGCGTTGTAACAGAAATTGGATCGAATTGGGCAATGGTGTGTAGACCACATCGGCAAACTCCACCCCGACAAGGCCTGTGTGCTGTGGTGCTCGCTGAATAATCCCGCAGTGAAAGCGCAGATGCCCACAGTCACCATCAACGACAGGGTCCTGAAGCATGAGCACTCACAGAGGTATCTAGGTATCACCTTTGACACATCACTCCCAGGTAAAGATCACATAACCAGGATCGTCACAAGAGCCAGAAAAGGTCCGACTGCACAGATAAACCTTGACGTGAAACAGAATGCCACATAGAATTTTAGCAATACTATGCCATACTCTTTTGTTGTCTGTGATAAGACTATGGTCTCGGGTCTCCTCATCTTGTCAACGTCGCTGCTAAAAAAAACATGAAAGAATTCAGAATGAAGGTATGTGGACTGCCCTCGGATGCACACGAGAAACATCCTGCGAGGTTAAGCGCTAGCCTTTCTCCTGGGCCTTCCAGCCAAGGTAAAACGTCACAAGATTGATCAGGTAAAAGCGTATTTGAGAGTTAGCGCCAATGATCAGCACCCACTGCATGACAAAGCCGAAAGAACTGTTGTTTGTTGTAGGTTTTTTAAAAAAGTTTTACGGCACTTGCAACACAATAAGGTCATACAAGTGCCGAAGATTAAAGGAGTTACAAGGGAGTAACAAACGCAAAAAAGGAGGGGAGATAAAGACGATAGATTTTTTATAGGAAAGAAGGAGCAAACCACACCAGAGAACCCGCCAACCACCCATGGAAGAACTGTACGCACCCGTCTGATTAGAGGGACTGAAAGGATGAATGAGGCAGTGATGACTTAGACTAAAGGCTGTGAAGTGCAACACATCAAAAGGGGCAGCGCATAGGTCAGCGTCACTGACACACTTGGGTCAGCGTCACTGACACACTTGGGCAGTATACTCGAGTGGTAGCAACCTTAGGCAGAGAATGTCATGAGTGGCACCTTGCAGTACAAATAGGTCATATTTTAAGAGCCAAAGATTAGAGAGTAACATACAAAGAAAAGATAATAGAATTTAGACAGTAAAGAAGGAGCAAGCTACACTACAGCACACACCAACTTTTAACTACCCAGAATTATGCTGTCCGAAACAGGCAAAGAAAAAGAGATACAGCTCTAATCAAACTTAACAAAATTCAGTGCGAGCATGAATTAGCCTTGTTTGTATTAAGCTAGCACTAACAACACAACTTCACCAAGAACAAGACTGTGAAAGACAAACAATTTGACAAACATTAATACACAACTTCGCCAAAATTCTCAATTTATTTCCACACTGCTAGCTAGATAGGTAGATAATCAACAATAATACAAGGCACCAAAGGTTTCAGTACTGTCAATGATATCATGCCTTCCACTGACATAGCAGTGATCAGCCAAATAAATAGTCATGTCTTCACACAATACAACTCTAGACCTGACAAGTACACATAATTACTTTTAATCATCTTTTTAAAAAAGTAAAATGTTTGAAAAGAGAATATCTACTCGCAGGATCTAATCTGACTTCCTCCCCTCCCACTCCTCTCCCCTATTTTTAAAAAAAATGTAAAAATGTCTTTCTTTACATTGGTACATTTACATTGGTACTGCACTGCCTCCCATTTCCACCCCCAAATAAACACTTGTGAAGCCACAATAATAATAATAATAATAATAATAATAATAATAATAATAATAATAATAACGATAGTAAGTAAAGCACACAATGCAAAGATCAAGCGTTCAAACAAACTGACTAGAACTTTCACAGTCAGGTATCCACTCCCACTTGAATGAAATGAGTAAAATTCATGTAAAGTGCCTTTCCCAAGGACTTCATAGGATTCAAACCAACGACGTTTTGGTTGCCAGCCTAACAGTCTAACAACTAGACCACCAGCGATGTCAAGCTGAATGCCAGTATTAAATTAACATTCTGAGCAAGATAAATGGGACAGAATAAATGCATAAAGAAATTTTACAAGGTCTTTTCCCATCGAACACATGTATAAGATAAAATCTTACTTTCCACATCTCTGTCCCTTAATCACACACACATGCACTCACTTCACAGAGGAACTAATAAGATTTTTGTACATGACAAGACAATACGAATTTACACTCATGATAACACTAATAGACAAATGTGAGGTATCGTGGTGAAATCAGGCACTCGTCAAAATAAATCAAACCAAAGACATCGAAAAAAAATTTTTAACTGATGGGCAATATTTTTTCTAATTTTCTTTTTTTGGCTCAACACCTTTTACATCCATTTAAAAACACATTTCCGTGTGGATTGTTACTGAAAAACATTGATGATGTAAATTTTCAGTTTACTACGACTCTCAGATTATGGGGGAAATTACCAAACTTTGGTGGTCATTCTCTCAATAATTTTACCTCTGAAACCAGGCGACCCTGACCTCCTTCAATCGCAAATATCTCGACTTCTTTTCAACATAGATGAATATTTTTTTTTTACCAAAAGGAAGGCAAAAGAACAGGCTTTAAGATGATACCAATAACCTTATATGCCCAAAAATTGACGAGCGCCTGATTCCACCACGTCGTGACACAAATGTTTTATGCTCTCCTCGTCAGAATTCAAATCATTCACCAAAAAGGCTGCCTCAGTTCTGCCTGTTGGGGCCAACCCAGGCCACGTCAGCAATAAATCCCAATTGAAAGACAGAAGAAATCTCTTCTTTCACGGAAGACTCCAGCTTAAAGCTGTTGAGTGTCAAAGTACCTAACCATGAGACCACAAATGTTGGCGTAATACTTCCAATATCAACAATACATGCAGAGAGAATAATCATGATAACAAAACAACAAAGGTCATCCCCATAATAGGATAATAATAGTAAAAGTAATAATTTTTTAAAAATAATAATATCAAAACAATGATAACAAAGTCGAACCTGCCTTAGCGATCAGCTCTCAGTAGCGGTCACCTATACTTATACCTATAACCACAACACCCATCAACTTTGTTTCCTTTATTTTTAATCCAACATGGCCACAGTCAGTCAGCCTCAAAAGCTACTTGTGGTAGTCACTTGCTACAAATGTTTTTTGCCAATCCATTCTTGGACTGAGTGTGTACATTCAATCAATGAAAAGAAGCACTTATGACTGACTTAAGATGGATAACAATTTTGAAAGAAATGAAATCGAAAGGTAAAAATTAAGACCAGATTTTAAACCATTTGTTGTCGCAGTTTCTAAAACTGAACTCCATCAGTCTAGTTAAGACAGAGTGAGAGCTGATGTTAGCGTTTTCATTGCATTAAATGTCAAGACAGAACCTCAAAAGGCCCCTTTTTCTGAGCTGTAAGGACAAAATTTTGCTCATGAGGTTCAAGATGGTTTCCATGGAGAGATTTTAGTCGAAATACACACCGTGGTTTTTAGCTGTATCAATAATCAATTATGTCACTGCCAACGTAAACACGGTTTACATTAATAAAGAAAACTCAATTTTAAGCTTGTTGAACACGGCATGACTTATCATATGGTGCATTTGCAGGGTAGTGTACGTATTCTAAAATTCATTTGACACAAACCAGTCTTTAAAAGCCAGCTCCATTTCAAAGCACAGACATCTAAGGTCTATAACTTAGTTAAAGAAACATGTTTTCCATATGTTGAAAACATTTGTACGCTTTCCAGTGACATGATACAGCAGCAATTACCCCTCCATCATACTTCTTTACTTTTACTTTCCCCTTTTCATCCTTCGTTGCCGTTAAGAGCCAAGGGGAGATGCAGTTTTCTACGGTAGGCCAGCTCCCCAGCTCTTTCAGTTGGGAGATCATGATTTCTCAGGGTTTCCTCGACTCCCTCAATCCATCTTTAACATGGTCTACCTCTTACTTTATATCATGAGTACATGGTGTCATAGGCTCTCGAGGCTGGCTGGCTAGGTGACATTCGTAACACGTGGCCACAGCATTTTATTCTGGGTTTTTTTATTACATGCAGGCAGGACTCAGTGCCAACACTCGCTCTTACTTAATAATAATATATGGCATTTATATAGCGCTCAACCCCTATTAAAGTACAGAGACTCTGAGGCTTTACAATACAGCAGTAACATAAAACATTGTGTTCTGACCAAAAGAAAATCTCTATATTATTCACCTCATTAATCTAAAAATAAAAATGACTTCAGGTGACATTTGGAAAAATCAAAGGATTTGATCTCTCTTAACTCACTGACTACGGATCCCGTCACGGGTACGGGGCTCTCGGTCGGTTCGTAGGTATGGATCCCGTACCCCCGACGGGATGGAATTTGCGGTTTTGTTCCGTATCTTGTGCTCCCTTCACATGTACAGGAACGGACTCCAGTGCTAGTTTTGCCTCTTGTTTCGTTTCATGCCGAGTTTGGCGGAAGTTTCGAGGTAACTTTTTAAGCAATTGAAGGTGAAGGACAGTCACCTCTTCTGGGGCTGACCTGACCGGAACTCGTGCTATGTTTTTTCTATACAAATGATAGTAATCCGACAATCGCGTCGAAGTAACGGTCGCACGAACAAGAATCACATAATTTCGCTGTTTTCGATACTTCTGTACGTTTTGCTAGTTTTAGTGACAGGATATATGTGTCCGAAAGTTAGGACCCTGTATATGTACCCGAACACGGCCCGAGTCGTAGTTTTAGGGCTAGATCTAGCACTGGTACTGTTGTTGTTGTTCACGCGACGAAATCACAACTTCGTTCCCTACATGTCTCATGAAATTCAGTGTATGGGTCTGAATAAACGCACAGACCAGCTTTTATATTTTCACCAAACACTCACACATGGATATAAATCAAAACAGAACACTTTGAACTTTTATTTTTGTTGTTGTGAATTTCATTCTATCTGTCATGTCTCTGGACATTTTTCGAAAAATCAAATTCATGCCAATTTTGAAACAATCATAAGAATTAAAGTATTAGACCTAGAGAACTTAATTATTTTGAAATAGATTAAATTTGAAAGTTACTTTACTGTTTCAAAAAATAATTACAATAGGGTAATTCTGAGAGTTGAGGTGGTGTTTTGAAATACCCCCAAAAATGCCAGTACTCAGCACTAGTGATTTGTGAAAGGGGCCAGTAGTCAGTGAGTTAAACTACTGGGCAAAACATTCCAGTAGATGGTAAAAGAAATTTCTTTTTGTCATACATTTGTTCATACTTCTTTTACTCTACGAAACTTAACCTTAAAAAAAATGAAATAATTAGTCGACTTTTCTACCTATAAAGGGACAAATATATGACATTCATAGTTTCTCGCCTCCCTGTGAAAAAATGTTTATATATGGCTTACCGGATTCATAAAATAATTCACCGAGATGACAGACAAGAGTAATTTTGAATCTCTACTTTGTACATGATCCCAAAACAAAAATAAAACTTCGGGCACGTACTTTGTACATGATCCCAAAACAAAAATAAAACTTCAGGCACAAAGCATTACCGCTGTTGAAGTAAACATATAGCATTCAACTACCAAAAATGAAAAAAAGGAAAAAAAGAGGGCACAGTATCACATTTTCTGATGGCACAATTATCTACAAGAGGTCACGACAAGCCATTATACCAGTGCCTCTGGCACATTCAAAAGCTCTGACCCAAGCAAGGGGAATAAAGCGAAATAGTTCTCAAAAGTAGATATATTTGTGGATTAGCAATTATTTCCTTATTCCAACGAAGTCTACATGAAAGCTTCAACAAAATACACTTATTCTGCACTCTTTAAATAAAAAGTGAGATTACCAGCTCCTAGAACAAAACTGAAAAGCATTATCACAATATTAAAAAAATTTTTAGGTGCATTGCACAGCAGACAAAATTGTGATCAGAGTAAACAGTAGCATAAAAACCAAAACATGACATTTTGTTCACACTCAAAAAACTTCGTTGTCAATAAATAGTTCTTGTAAAATAAGACCATATTGACAACCATATAAGACGATGTTTATCCGCAGCAAGAAAATGTTATCAAAATAACCCACTGAATCAGTAATGGCACAGTCACAAAAATACTGACAAAATTAAATTCTTATCAAAATTAGGGAAACAGCAATTCAGACATCTTCCACAAGAATAGGCAAAACAGAATTTGCAGCAAGGATGATTGCACTACACTAAGAGACCCAAACTAGGACTGGTGGCAAAATCAGAATGAAAAAAAATATGTAAAACAAACACCCATTTCCTTCCGTTCTTTCCCTAAACATGCTTACAATTTCAAATTCCCATTCTTCATACGTTGAAAAATATAAATCAACAAACTTCTGCATGCCCACCCCCCCCCTTCCCTACAAACACAACATTGAAAGACACTGTAAATTAGTGCTCTATAAATTGTGCTACACAAAAGTAAGGTGTGTTACCAATTTGGAAACTCTGTCACCTACCATATCATCACTGGCAGGCTTGTCAAGCCCGCTATTTCTAGACGCTGTCTAATGTCTACGCTAACACTTTTTCGACTCTCAAATTATATTCCGATTTATTCATCATCCGATATGACCACTTTGGTCGGTAAAAAACACACCAGCCTTTCCGTTCTTTTCCCAGTTCTGCTGCTGTCCAATACGGCCACTGTGGATGAAGGAACAACACATCCTCCCCTTGTTCTTTAGCCAGTTCTGTGATTCACACAATTCACCAACTGCCACAGGTGTCAAGGTTACGAAAAAATGTATTAGCACCTCATCTCTCAGTGAGAAGATCCCTGGAGACAATCATCCGCATGATTTCATTTGACCCTACAAAGAAACAAGAGACGTTTGAGGTTAAATTTTAAAGTCAAACAAATAAAACATACATGACAGATGAGCAACAAAAGGCATGCAAATGAAACAGAAGGATACCAATACATACAAACATGGAGAGAGGACGGGAGGGGGGGGGGGGGTAGAAAGATAGATAGATAGATAGATAGAGAGAGAGAGAGAGAGAGAGAGAGAGAGAGAGAGAGAGAGAGAGAGAGAGAGAGAGAGAGAGAGAGAGAAAGAGAGAGACAGAGAGAAAGAGACAGACAGACAGACAGAGAGAGAGAGAGAAAGAGAGAGAGAGAGAGAGAGAAAGAGAGAGAGAAAGAGAGAGAGAGAGAGAGAGAGAGAGAGAGAGAGAGAGAGAGAGAGAGAGAGAGAGAGAGAAAGAGAGAGAGAGAGAAAGAGAGAGAAAAAGAGAGAGAGAGAAAAAGAAAGAGAGAGAGAGGGACAGAGAGAGAGAGCAGACAGACAAACAGACACACAGACAGACACACAGACAGACAGACAGACAGACAGAGTAGAAGAGAGCAAAAAAGGAGAAAGCAACAGTTCATCTTTCAACAATAGCTAAGGACCAATTGCACTAAACACTATTTTTGTAGATCGTTAGCACCTTTTAAAGAAACATGAGCACAGCATCTCACCTTCCAATATACAGTGTACCCGAGTGTCTCTCATATACTGCTGGACTGGGTAATCTTTCAGATACCCATAGCCTCCAAATATTTGCAGGGCATCATTGCAGATCTGAAAACAAATATAGAAAAATACATTATATCTTTTCATTCTGGATTTTCTCTTTCAAACCATTGACTTGTACATTAAATTATGACCCAAACAAATCATACAACTGATAATGCCACATCATGGGGGGGGAAGAATCTTCTTCTTCCTCTTCTTTGCCTTCCCCCACTAGATCTCAGGGGTCCCTGACTCCTGGCTGGTTCACATACCCAACTCCTTTTTTTTCATAAGAGTATAATGGCACTTGCAAAACAATAAGGTCATATGAGTGCCGAAGATTAGAGGTGTTACAAGAGAGTAACAAACAGAAAAAAGAAAGAGAAGAGATAAGGACGATAGATGTTTGATTGGAAAGAAGAAGCAAATCACACCAGAGCACCCGCCAACCACCCACTACTCGACTCCTGGCTGGTTCATCAACCCGCAGTGCCACTGATTTTTATTTATGTGTGAGACAGCATGGTGAAATCAGGCACTCATCAAAATAATGAAATCAACAAAACTGGCATTTTTCTGAGCATTGGGCAATTTTTTTTTTTTGGCTCAAAACAATTTATTTCAAAAAACACATTTTAGTGTGAATTTTACTGAAAATTGTTGTTTAAAGGCGTAAAAAAAAGTAAATTTACAGTTTCCAAGGACTCTCAAGCTATGGTAGTCACCAAATTTTGGCAGCCATTTCCTCATTAATTTTACTTCTGACACCAGGCGACCCCATCTCCTTCAATCACAAACATCCCAAGGTCTATTCAAGATGTATGGGTATTTTTTTCATCAAAACATAGATAAAGAAAGACCAAGCTTCAAGATGATACACAGATACCAATAACTCCAAAAATGCCCCAAAATTGACCAGCCCCTGAATTCCACCGAGTCGTGAGACATATGTGACTGTATTTCCTACTTCATAGGACCCCTTGCCATCAGGCAGCCACATTCCAATTTCGAAGGTACTCCATACGCTTTAGCACTGACTAGAGTATTTTCAGTTTTGGTAGAAATTAATTTTGAAATTTGCCCAAGTGGTAATCGAAACCTACTCTTATCTATTTTAATACCACCAAGGGATCTTTAGTTCATTCAAGTTGCACACAGGACCTCCGAGATTTTTTCACCCTTATCCAAGAAGACAAAGTAAAGTGTTAGATCTTACCTACCCTAATGTCAGGGGTGCAGCTGAAAGACATCAGTAAAATAAGAACCAGGAGATCAGTAGAAAGAGTCAAGTGTAAAGGGTAGAGGAGCCCAGAGGAAGCCAGAGTTTGAGAGGGGGGAGGGGGATCTTGGCCGATCCAATAGAATAATAGAATAGACTTCCTGTTAACGGATATGAAAGAAAATTTGGGGCTCTCGTGGTCTAGAGGTATGGTGCTCACCTCTCATTCAACAGATCCAAGGTTTGCAAACTGACAGCGACGCAAAACTTTTCTGCTAAAATTTTCTCCATTCACCACTTTCCTGTTCTCTAGACGTGTTCTTTGATCTGCTTTCATTTCCACTTTCTCTAGTCAGTATAAAAATATAAAGAGTACCTTCGAAATCAGAATTTGGCTGCATAAAAACAGATGAACAGTCAAAATAATTAAATGCACACGTCTGGCCACTCACCTTGAAGCACTCCTCTGTGGCAAAAAGCTTAGCCATGGAGCACAGGGCAACAGAGTTCGGATCCCCTCTGTCCAGTGCTTGGGCAGCATTCCTCACCATCAGCCGGGATGCCACGAGCTGGGTGGCCATCTCAGCTAGTCGGAACTGCAGGTACTGTAGAAAAGTGAAATAGTACAGGTTTAGCCCTTTTTGGCTTTAGCTTTAGTAAAGGTTTTACGGTGCTCCCAACTGCATAAGGTCATATGAGCGCCAAAAGATTAGAGGTGTTACAAGAGAGTAACAAACATAAAAAAGAAAGAGAGATAAGGACGATAGATGTTTGATAGGAAAGAAGAAGCAAACCACACCAGAGCACCCGCCAACAACCCACATCAGCCCTTTTTGAGCCACATCGGCCTAAACTGGCCTTCCTGTCATGTTTCCATACCGGCTAAATTATTAAAATTAACTGGCTGTAGAGCCATACTGGCTTTTACCAGCCTGACACACCCGCCTTTAGTGTAGGCTAAGAAATAGAACATTCCACTCTAAATTTAGATACTGGCGTTCCAGGTCTTTGTAAGTGAAATTTCATTGTAATACATCGCTAAAAGTAAAAGCAATTTCTTTCCTACACCCCCTGAATTTCTGAAAAACACTGAAATATTTTAGTTTTGAGAAGCCATCAGCTGGCCCCCATTTTGGTTTTGCTGTGGTGACTTACTGACCCATTAATGGTGCTGAGAGGGTTAACACCCCTATCAACACTATTAGACTATTTAACTCTATAACCCCGAGTGGACGGTACCAGCACCTGGCTTGATCGCAGGGTGCATGAAGCATTACTCCTAATGCACTCTTTTACAAATCCGAAGAGATTTAATTTGACTCGGAAATGTTAGATAAATGTATAAACTACTTTCTCTTCACTTTGACACAGTTTAAACCATTTTATGAATATTTTGAGCATATCCCAAGTTACCTGTTTCATGAGATCTGGAAAAAAACTCTGTCAAAACATGGAAAATAATTCCAGGGTTAAAGAGTTAAGAGGCCGGACTTCCGAGTTCCATGTCCATTTCCAACAGGACCAAGCAAAATAGGATATTCAAATTAAGTGCCTTTCCCAAGGACACAATGTTGGACTGAGCTGAGGCTCAAATCCCCAAACCTGCAATCTCACAATTACACATCCAGTAGCCTAACTACCAGGCTACCGAGGCTACCAGGTACTGTAGGCAAGAGACCAATGCATTGATAACAAGTAGAAACTGAAATCAGTACACAATCAAATAACCGTTCATTAGGAGAACAGAATGAAAAGTGTGATGGGGAATGTGAACCATCCCTATTCCTCCCACCCTCCGCCCCACCATCCACCACCACAAGAGAAAAAAAAGGAAAAGTAGAACAGAGCAGACCACAATTTTCTTTACCTGAAAATTTTCCAAGGGCTGATTGAACTGCTTGCGCACCTTCATGTGGTCTCGCGCTTGTTCAATGGAGGCATGAGCAGCCCCAAGGGAACTGGATGCTGTTCAAAACAAATTGAAATCAAATTTTTTAATTTTAGTAGAGGTTTAACGGCGTTCGCAACTGCACAAGGTCTTATGAGCGCAAGAAGATTAGGGGTGTTACAAGAGAGTAACAAACATAAAAAAGAAGAAGGGGAGATAAGCACGATAGATGTTTGATAGTAAAGAAGAAGCAACCACACCGGAGCACCCGTCAACCATCCACATTAATTTTTTGGGTTTGAGTAAAGAGAAGCTCACTGACATGATAATGGTCATTTAGTGCAAAGAAAAACAACATGTTTTAGTAAGTGTTTCACAGGACTTGCAACATAATTAAGTCATGTAAGTGCCAAAGATTAGCTGTTAAAAGCCAGTAACAAATACAAAAATGAAGCATGAGAGATGACTACGGTAAATATTTGATAGGACAGGAGGAGCAGAGGCAATCCACACCATGAGAGCACCCATCAACAACCAAAAAAAAAAAAATGGTGGACTAACAGAAACAAAAAGAATATACAGAAATGAAGGACCTCCAAGTGGAGCCCTCCAGCATCCCCCACATATTGAAGACATTCTGGCTTTTAGTAAGAGTGGGCTTGTTGCATAAGTAGAACAATTAGAGGCCAAGAGAGATAAGACTAAGACAGAATGAAAATGTTTTAAGCCCCCAGCAACTTAATTTAGATCATCAGGGAGGAAGCCAGCTTCAATCCTGCTTACAGGGTCAACATGGACAACATTATCACAGCAGAAAGACAAAGACACTTTTTATAATAACGTCCAAAGCAGGAATCAAACACATCTTCTGTGCACAATGGAAAAGAGTCTTACTGTTATATCACAGATAGTGGTCGTCTGCAACCCTGAGAAGCAGCACACCCCCCCCTTTCCACCCAATTAACTCTTTAAACCCCATCGAACGCTGGGAGCGTCCAGCTGTACAGCGGTAGTAACCCTGTTCTGCGTCGGGCGCTGGAGCTTCCGATACTAGTGACAACTGTTTCTTTTAATTTAGTGATAGTTTCTTCTTGTTTTTCAGAACTATTCCCGATCCAAATTTTTTAGCAATGACTAAACCTTTGTTTCCGCAATTTAGAAGTCGGAGGCAAGCTTTTGGGGTTGTAATGAGACACCAGGTTTAGGTGACTGGAAAAAAACACCTCCGGGAAATGGTGGAAAAAACTCAGAGTTTAAAGAGTTTAAAAAACCCGTCAAGTAGTTGCCAACTACCCCCAAACACTAATTCAATTTAATTATCCTACAATTACTCACTAACATTATGTCAAAAACAAACATTATTCATGTCAAAAACACCAACACACATTATTTTTGTCATAAACATTCACACACATTGTGAAACACACACCCTCATGAGTCCTGCCACAATAACTCACGTACATTCATACTGTAACAAACACTCACATTAACTGTACCGCAAACACTCCCTCACGTTAATACAGAAGAAAAAAACCCACTCCCATTAATTCTGCGATAACCACCAACAAACATCAATACTGCAACAAACATCCACATAAACTAAACTGTGCCACAAACACTCACCTACATTAATAATGAAAAAAAAAATCACCAACATTCACTCTGCAACAAATACTCTCACACACACAAAGATACTGCGACAAAACACCCTAATCAATTGTGCAACAAAACACTCACCAACATTAACTGGGCCACAAACTGCCACAAACATTCACCAACATTAACTGGGCCACAAACTGCCACAAACATTCACCAACATTAACTGGACCACAAACTGCCACAAACATTCACCAACATTAACTGGGCCACAAACTGCCACAAACATTCACCAACATTAACTGGGCCACAAACTGCCACAAACATTCACCAACATGAACTGGGCCACAAACTGCCACAAACATTCACCAACATTAACTGGGCCACAAACTGCCACAAACATTCACCAACATTAACTGGGCCACAAACTGCCACAAACATTCACCAACATTAACTGTGCCACAAACACTCACCAACATTAACTGTGCCATAAACACTCACCCACAAAACACTCACCAACATTAACAGTACCACAAAACACTCACCACCATTAATTGTGCAACAAACATTCACCAACATTAACTGGGCCACAAACTGCCACAAATATTCACCAACATTAACTGGGCCACAAACACTCACCAACATAAACTGTGCAACAAACACTCATCAACATTAACTGTACCACAAACACTCACCCACAAAACACTCACCAACATTAACTGTACGAGAAAACACTCACCAACATTAACTGTGCCACAAACACTCACCAACATTAACTGAGCCAAAAAACACTCACCAACATTAATTCGGCCTCCATTGAGGCCTCTCATGGCTATACTGAAGCCCTGGCCTTCCACACCAACGAGATTACTTTGAGGGACACGACAGTCATCAAATGACACAATCCTTGCAGGATGTGAATTCCATCCAACCTTGTTGAATAGGAAAAAACAAAACATTTCCCTAACTTCATCTAAAAACATGTTCTTCAATACTTGTAAAAACATTTTCCTCAAATTTTTGGTCTAATACCCCCCAACCCCCGGTCCACTATGATTACTCTCTCTCTCTCTCTCTCTAATCCCTTCTCAACTCTAACTCAACCACACTTCTCACCTCACTTCCGAGTCTAATCCATCCCCTTTACCTCCACATGCAAACCTCCTCGCCCCAGCCCCCCTCCTCCTTTTCCCCTTCCCCTCCAGATTTCACCTTCCCAATGGCATACCTTCTTCTCCTTTTTCCCAAAAGAGAGGCCTGGTGTGTCTTTCTCCACCAGCACACAAGACACACCTTTGGGGCCCGGCTGGCCAGTGCGACACATCAGCACGTATAGGTCACTCGCCCCACTACCGCTGATGAATGCCTGAATTTCGACGAGACAAGATGTTTTAGTTTTAGTAAGAGGTTTTAGTTTTAGTAGAGGTTTTACGGTGCTCGCAACTGCATAAGGTCATATGAGCGCCAAAAGATTAGAGGTGATACAAGAGAGTAACAAACATAAAAAAGAAGAAGGGGAGATAAGGATGATAGATGTTTGATAGGAAAGAAGAAGCAAACCACACCAGAGCACCCGCCAACCACCCACAGAAAGAGTTTTACGGTACATGCAACACAATAAGGTCATATAACTACCGAAGACTAGAGGAGTTACAAGAGAGTAACAAACATAAAAAAGAAGGAGGGGAGATAGTTTTTTGGTTTTAGTAAAAGTTTTACTGCACTTGCAACACATTAAGGTCATATAAGTGCCCAAGATTAGAGGTGTTACAAGAGAGTAACAAACACAAAATAAAAGGAGGAGAGATAAAGATTATAGACGGTGGATAGAAAAGAAGGAGCAAACCACACCAGAGCACCCGCCAACCACCCACTGGAGAGGAGATAAGAATGATAGACGTTTGATAGGAAAGAAGGAGCAAACCACACCAGAGCACCCGCCAACCACCCACAAAAACAAGATGAAATCAGATCAGCTCAGATTACAGAAAGAAAGAATAGAAGAGGCGAAATTAGAGAAAATAAAACACGTTAATACATAAATTCAGACAAAACAAGATACAATGAGGTTTAAAAAAAAACCAACTACAGATTCTCCTTTGTTATGAATTAACCAGTGTACTTCAGCCAGCCTCTGCCACACAAATCATATATTCATAGCACAATATAAATACACACACACTAGACAAATCATAAATCCTGTATAATGCACACACAAAAACGCACACACACACATACAAAATGACTCTCCCAATGTAAATAAAAATTTTGCATTTTAATGGCAATGGCCTATTATACATTCCAGCACTGAAGACTTTCGATACTGAAACCATCTAAAATGCATGCAGCTGAAAAAAAGAGGTTACACATTTTTATTGTTTTTTTAGTCAGAGTTTTTAGGCACTAGCAACACAATAAGGTCATATATGTGCCGAAAATAAAGAGAGTAAAAAACACAAAACAAGGGGAAGAGGAGAGATTAGGATGATGAGAGATTGAGAGAGAGAAAGAGAGAGGGGGGAGGGAGGGAGAGAGGGAGGGG